TTTTCTAATCCTGCTAAATTCAAGTACAAGTTCTAGGGGCTCCTAGAGATTTCTTAGTATTTTCTCTGTAGATGATCATTTCATCTACATATATTCTGCTCCTACCGTGCCAAAAACAAACAAAACTTTATCGTGGAAAACTTCAAACATAAAGCAGAGTCACCTCCTTACTTCTGGATTGGAAATTCTATCACGGTAGACCCGGGTTTTGATTTTTTTCCCACTATCCACAGGGTCTGCCAGGAACTCCCCATACCCAGGGAATGTGCTAGCAGAGAACGAATTCAAGGCACGAGGTCTTCTCCGGGGCAGATGCCTTTTAAGTCCCGTAGGGCCGCCCAGCACAGTCCCCGGAGCCCTTTGCTGCCCGAAGGCGTTTGACCCAGTTTCTCGCCGCCAGGCCCGGTCTTCCCGTGGACACTCACGCTGCAACCTCCAAGTGCGGGTTTGGCCAAAGATTCCAGAATGGGAAGACCCCTGACTTCCGAAGGAACAAAGTTTTTCTTTAGGCCTGTAGGGCCCAGCCTCCCCCGAGTCGGAGACCGCCTCATCGACAGACTAGGCCTCTGCAACGGGCGCACGCTCCCTCCTTTCCATCCCTCCTTCCACCTCCCCTCGGCAGCGGCGGTTGGTCGCGCGCGGTTGCCTCTCTCCCACCCCCTCAGCTAACGAACGGGCTCCAGGCCCTTTGGGATTGGCTGCGCCTGAGTGCATCTTCCCTCAGCCTCTCTTATTGGCTCTCGTCCCGCGGGATGCGTGCTCTGATTGGCTCGATCAGGGCGCCTGCGCGGCGGGGTTCTCGGTCGCCAGCCATTCCTGAGAGGACTGCCGGTAGGTCGGACGTCTCGCCAGTCGCTGGAGCAGAGGTCCCGGCTCTCCGGGAAGGCGGCGGCTGAGGCGGCAAAATGAAGATATTCGTGGGCAACGTCGACGGGGCGGATACGACGCCAGAGGAACTGGCAGCTCTCTTCGCGCCCTATGGCACGGTCATGAGCTGCGCCGTCATGAAACAGTTCGCCTTCGTGCACATGCGCGAGAACGCAGGCGCGCTGCGCGCCATCGAGGCCCTGCACGGCCACGAGCTGCGTCCGGGGCGCGCGCTTGTGGTCGAGATGTCGCGCCCAAGGCCTATGAACACTTGGAAGATTTTCGTTGGCAATGTGTCGGCTGCATGCACGAGCCAGGAATTGCGCAGCCTCTTCGAGCGTCGCGGACGCGTCATCGAGTGTGACGTGGTGAAAGGTAACGTGGAGGCGTGCTCTGGGCGGGGGCGCGCTCTGGGCGGGGGCGCGCTCGGGGCACTCTGCCTGTTAGCCACGCCCCTTACCCTAGGGTCGGTCACTGCGAGGTTGGGGAGGGTGGGGAAGTGCGCGGGAGCGAGCTGGAGGTGTTGGAGGCGCGTTGGGTAGAGCCACCCCCTCCCCTGCGGTCCAGGCACCATTCACCATGCGGGAGGAAGCGGCTCTGGGTGGGTGCGGCGGCCACTGTGAGCCGAGCCCTAGGCCCAGGGACGCGCCAAAGACTTGCGAATGTACCGGGGGCGCGCCTTCTCCTAGTCTCCTGGGCCTGGCACCGAGCGGAAATTGGGAAGTGACGGCACAAGCCGGATCGTGGAGCGGGGAAGATTTCGCTACTTCCCCACTTCCTCTCCCGACGTCGGTCAGAGCAAGGGAAGAGGGAAAAGGAAAAAGTGGGGCCTGACACCCTAAGGCCGCCCTCGTGTTCTCTCCGATGAATGCTTTCGAGTGGAAGGTAACGGGGCCCTTGGACGTTTCTCGGGCTAGGATCTTTTAGTATTTACCTAGCCTGGGTCTCCTTGCGGGTACAGGAGGGGCCCCTTCCGAACCACTTTGGCCTTTCAGTATTTGCTGGGTTACACGTGGTAACTCTGTGCTTTTCAATTCTCTCAAACTTGAGTTTTTATATATCAACTGGAAACCCGGACCTTTTGCGTGTGGAAGGAGGCCTGTTTTATGACGGTCTTCTTCTGCATAGACTTTACCAGACAAGCTGGTGCTCCAGGGTAGTGTCATTCTTTTTATAAGCTTGGTGACTTTAGAAGAGAGCATATTGTGGCTGAGAGGGACACGGGCAAGGGCATTTGGAAGGTCTTCGTTAAACATTGGCTAAACTTGATTTGCTTAGTAGTCATTGTTTGAATACAATAGTCTTAATTCCCAGTGCAGATCCCTAGTTTGCCTTTTCTTTGAGAAAAATGTGTCACCATATATATCTATATTGTAATTTCCACTCTGGGTTCTTGGCCTCTAAGCTCTTTTTTTTACTGACAAGATTTGATGGGACAGCCCTTATGTGACCATTCGCTGTTCTGCTTGAGAATAGATCAGAGTTAACTTTACCCTGTCATCTTCAAGGATACAACCTGGGAGTATCTGGGAGTATGTCCTGTATCTGCTGTTGGATTATACTTGCTCATATGCTGTGTGGGAAATTTTGAGGGCAGGAAATAAATATGGGTGGAGGTAACTGTTCATTCTCACCAAAGATATTTAATTTACTGTCCTCAAAAGACATGTCTTTTGAGCCATTCCTTGTCGTTTCTATAAGTGGGGGAAGTGGGTCATAGTGTTCATTACTGGAATCAAGTCTTTGTTCTACGTTAATACTACATTGTATTTTCTTCAGCTCAGGTTATATAAGTCCATGACTACTTGGAATCAGGTTTCCCTGCTGGGTGCTCTGAGACAGGCTATATGGTGCATGAATTTTTGCTTTTGTTTATAGTGAAAGTAGGGAGACTCTCAGATTGAATACTTGGCTAACAAATGGATGGGGTATATGAGTCTTCATGAGTTTTGTGTTTAATTAATCAGGTTTCTTTTGTGGTTCTTAGGCAGGGTGATTAGTAGATTGGGAGTGAAGAATCTAGTACCTCAGGGATTTTATTCATGGGACTTACTGGTCAAGAAGGTTGCTCACAGGTGATAGAGAAAGCCAAAATTTTGCCTACATTTTCTGGGACCAACACCAACAAAAAATGATGGTGAAGTGCATTGTAGCTTCACTTCAGTTATAGAACTCCTGACAGACTCCCTATGAGAGTTAGAGAAGTTTTATGCATTTTTGTCTTTTTAAACATTTATTAGTAGAAATGCATTGACTTCAGGGAGGGGTGTTCAGTTGTATTTGTAGTTAGGTTGATATGTTACAGGGGTCTTAATATACTTTGACCTAAGAAGATTGTAGGGAAGATTTGAGCATCAAATCCACTGATAGGCCTTTCTATGGGGGGGGTTGGGGAAGAAATCAAGTATTTAAAGTTAGGAATGTAGTAGAAAAGACTGGCTCTGTCTTTGTAATAGCTTACTCATTTCTTAAGCTGAGAAAGCATTTGATTGAATCTCCTGGTGTTGACTGTCAGGTGTTTGTTTTTTGGTGCTGGGAATCAAAACCAAGAATTTTGTACATAATGAGCAAGCATTCTACCCCTGAGCTACACCCTTAGCCCCTGTCAGGTCTTTGAAAAGCAGTGAAGTTTGTTAGTGCACAGGACAACCAGCTCTGTTTAATTTCACAGGAAAGAAAAAGAAAAAAACATAGTTGCTTGGTTACTCCAAGAGCTTAGGTACGATTTGTAGAACAAAAATCTCCACAGCAACAGTGGTAACCACTCTCCTCAGCTATATCTTAGCTACATCTTATTGGGTATTGAAAGATTAACAGTTTCAGGAACCACTTAAAGACTTGAGGGGAGGTCTGAAAGTCAGAAGAGGAAATTTTTTGGCGGGGAGGTAATCATTCTGTACAGAGCTTTATAGTTCTTGGTTAAATATTTTTAGTCTTAGAATGAGAAAAATTCATTTTTCCTGATTCTCTTTAGCTTTGGTACTGGAGGAATTTTGATACCACCAGAACATTTGGAGGTCTTTGCAAAACATTTCTTGCTGGGCTTAAAGCAGTGATTTCCTGCAGAAGTTTCCTTGAACTAGCTCTCCAGGCAAGGGGTTCCCTGGAGTTCTTCAGATCTCTGGTTCTTCTTCATTGTCCTAGGAATAGTAGGTTTTTTAGGCATCTTTTATAGGGCTAGATCTGGGTTTGGATGCATACCATGAATTTAGTTGGGCTAAATAGAATTGAGTCAGCTAGGCAACCTAGTCACACTTCAAGTATCAGACTTAGAAACTTCTGGTGTAATTTGGCTGTAATTTTATTATGTTCCCCTGCCCCATCAGATCCACAATTCATTTCCTTCTGTCTCCCCCTTCTCCCTCTCTCTTCCCTTCTCCCACACCACTTTCTTTCTGTACGTAAGATTGACTCTAGGGCCTTTGCACTGAGCTGTATCCCCAGCCCCTTTTTTGTTCTTTATTTTTATTTTTCAGACAGGTTCTCACTAAGTTGCCCAGGCTGGCCTTGAATTTCCAGTCCTCCTGGCTCAGCTTCCCAAAGTGCTGTAATTACAAGTGTGTATTACCACGCCTGACTTCAGTTTTCTTATGTATTTCAGGCTGGCCTTGAACTTTCAGTGATCCTTCTGCCTCAGCCTCCCAAGGGCTGACATTACAGGTGTGAGCCACCATGCCTGGCTTTTTTTTTTTTTTTTGGTACCAGGGATCGAACTCAGGACCTTGTGCTTGCAAGGCAGGCGCCGGAACCACTGAGCTAAATCCCTGGCCCTTGGCTTTTAATTTTCTTTCTCAATTCTTCCCCAGTAGTGCTGAGAATTTATACTCTATTGCTGAGCTACATCCTCAGTCCTGAAATCTCAGTTTTCAAATTTCACCACTCTGGATAAGACCCGGCTAGGTAGGGAGTAAACAATAGGTTGTCCAGCTGCTCTTGTAAACTGATGAAATTATTGTTGGGTGTTTTTCTGAACTCATTCTGGCCTTAGGAATTTATGGACAAAATGGTCAGGAATACAGTATAGTGTGGTTCCCTTAATCCCTCGCAGTACCTTGAGATCGTCCCCCTTCATGCCTTCCTCCCATCTGTCCACCAGCTCCAGCAAATTTTCTTTCTTACTTTGAGTGGACTTTTCTGCTTGGCTGTTGTTCTCTAGGTGGTTTTGCCATTGCTTAGGGTCATCTTGGCTTTTGCTTTTAAAGAGATGAGAGATCAGAGGACAATTCTAATATCCCGTGGCTAGATGGAAAGGAACACTTAGGTTTTCACCATTGGTAAATGAGGAATTTGGTTCTGGTTGTGAGGATGTTGAGGACTGAGATTTATGATAGTCTAATTTGATTTTTTTTTTTTTGGTACCGGGGATCGAACTCTGGTCCTTGTGCTTGCAAGGCAGGTGGCGGAACCACTGAGCTAAATCCCCGGCCCTAATTTGATTTTTATAGCATCTCTAGTAGGTTCCAATTTTGCATGTATGGATGGTATTGTAAAGGTGAAAGATAATATGCTGTAGGGAAATAAGCTTCTGGTTATTCTTGGATTTGAAAAATCATCATAATTCCCTGTCATTCTATAGCTGTTTATACCTTACATGGCACTTTTGTCTTCTCACTTGAATATCTGACCTTTGTGGTAGGTAGGATAGATTGTCAGATGGGAAAATACATGGTGAGTTTCTTAAAATCTTGTAACAGTCTGATATTTGCATTTAGCCCTGAGGTCTTTTAGTTCCTAGCCTGGGATCCCTAATGCAGTACCATGCTTTTGACTACTATCTATTGATTATTGTGAGGTTGTTAGCATTGTCCTAAAATCCAGGGAAATGACTTGTTCTATAGAAATGGCTAGAGAGGGCATCCCAGAATGAAAATTTCTAAAAGTTAGGACACTTGTTTGGAAGCTATTGTAAGGATTTCTTATCTTGGAGAATGGAACCTTAGTAATTTCATTCAGGTAACTTTTTATTTCTTAAACTGATGTGACAGATTGGCTCTTGGCACTTGGATTCCTTGTGGAAGTAGTCACAGGTCAAAATGGGGTTAAGTACAGGACATTAGTTCTCGGGGCCAGGATCTTTAGATCTTGCTTGTGCTATTGTGGTTTGTGAGAATGGGCATGAAGACAAATTTCTTCCCACTCTCTAAAAATTGTGATGGATGAATAGAGCTTTGAGATTAACATCCTGTCTTATATCCTCTCTCAGCAGAACTCATTCAGGTTTTAAATGAGAGCCTCAGGCATAGGTAACCTGCTAGTTAGAGTAGTTGTAGCGTCTTATGGCTGAAAAACTGGATCTTTTCTGTAAGTAGTCTGCTTTATGAACAGAAGCCCAAGGAGTAAAGGTATACCTATGTCCTTTTAAAGAGGAAATGATGAAGGATGTAATGTGGCCCAGAGGAAGGTGCTTAGTTTCCATTCCCATACTGGTCCCTTTCTAAGCTCACATTTTTATTCATACTATTCAGTCATGTCTTATGCATTGACTTCTCAAGGATAAACTGGCTTAGCAAAGGGGCATGGAAGAGCTGAGACTGGTCCTAGCATTAATCTACTTTGATTTGGGGGACAAGCCACATGGAAATTCTGAGCATATTTTTCCACCTATAAAATAGAGATGACAATACTTTGTCCTGCTGCTTCACAGGATTGTTGTGAGGTCCTGTGCATGGAAATGCTTTGAATACTGGAAATAATATTAAAAAAGAGAGATTATATTGGAGGAATTTTTTGAACTGTTTGCTCATTGCAGTGTAATTCCTTTGCCTTATTTGGACCTAGGCTGAGAGATGGGTCATGTAAAATACAAGTGCTCATTTTCAGTGTTAAAGAACTATAACACCTCAAAGATGAGCAGTAGAGTTTGGTAAGCTTGGGTTGAGAACATTGAATAATTAGTCATCTAGGAACTTTGGCGCATTTTGTCTGCTGGTTTATCCTTAAAAGGAGGTGTGAAGATTTTTATCTTGCATGGCAGTACATCTTTGCTCTTTCTCTCTCACCAAGGAGTTGGGAGAGGTGGCAGCAATTAAGGGGAGAATGGGGAGAAAGTCATAGCAAAGGTGATTGCTTGGGACAGTCAGAAGCTGTCTTATGTGGGAGCCACGTTTTATGATATGCTCCTGGAGAGGAGGGTTTGGAGGCCTGGAGGTAGCTGGCAACAGCTGGGTGCTGTTGTGTGTCCAGTTTGGGACCCCTCTGGTAGCATGCCCTGCCCCCCTAATTGCTAACCCTCTGTCTGCTGCTTTATCAGACTACGCGTTTGTTCACATGGAGAAGGAAGCAGATGCCAAAGCCGCCATCGCGCAGCTCAACGGCAAAGAAGTGAAGGGCAAGCGCATCAACGTGGAACTCTCAACCAAGGGTCAGAAGAAGGGGCCTGGCCTGGCTGTCCAGTCTGGGGACAAGACCAAGAAACCAGGGGCTGGGGATACGTCATTCCCTGGAACTGGTGGCTTCTCTGCCACTTTCGACTACCAGCAGGCTTTTGGCAACAGCACTGGTGGCTTTGATGGGCAAGCCCGTCAGCCCACACCACCCTTCTTTGGTCGCGACCGCAGTCCCCTGCGCCGTTCACCTCCCCGAGCCTCTTATGTGGCTCCTCTGACGGCCCAGCCAGCCACCTACCGGGCCCAGCCCTCAGTGTCTTTGGGAGCTGCCTACAGGGCCCAGCCTTCTGCCTCTTTGGGTGTTGGTTATCGGACTCAGCCCATGACAGCCCAGGCAGCCTCTTACCGCGCTCAGCCCTCTGTCTCCCTTGGGGCCCCATACAGGGGCCAGCTGGCTAGCCCTAGCTCCCAATCTGCTGCAGCTTCCTCACTTGGCCCATATGGTGGAGCCCAGCCCTCGGCCTCGGCCCTCTCTTCCTATGGGGGCCAGGCAGCTGTGGCTTCTTCGCTCAACTCCTATGGGGCTCAGGGCTCCTCCCTTGCCTCCTATGGTAATCAGCCATCCTCTTATGGCACCCAGGCTGCCTCTTCCTATGGGGTTCGTGCAGCTGCTTCCTCCTACAACACCCAGGGAGGAGCTTCCTCTTTAGGCTCCTATGGGGCTCAGGCAGCCTCCTACGGGGCCCAGTCTGCAGCCTCCTCATTAGCTTATGGAGCCCAGGCAGCTTCTTATAATGCCCAGCCTTCAGCCTCTTACAATGCTCAGTCTGCCCCATATGCTGCACAACAGGCTGCTTCCTATTCTTCCCAGCCTGCTGCTTATGTGGCACAGCCAGCCACAGCTGCTGCCTATGCCAGCCAGCCAGCTGCCTATGCTGCACAAGCCACTACCCCAATGGCTGGCTCCTATGGGGCTCAGCCGGTTGTCCAGACCCAGCTGAATAGTTATGGGGCTCAAGCATCAATGGGCCTGTCAGGCTCCTATGGGGCTCAGTCGGCTGCTGCGGCCACTGGCTCTTATGGGGCCGCAGCTGCCTATGGGGCCCAGCCTTCTGCCACTCTGGCAGCTCCTTACCGCACTCAGTCGTCAGCCTCATTGGCTGCTTCCTATGCTGCCCAGCAGCATCCTCAGGCTGCTGCTTCCTACCGTGGCCAGCCAGGCAATGCCTACGATGGGGCAGGTCAGCCGTCTGCAGCCTACCTGTCCATGTCCCAGGGGGCCGTTGCCAACGCCAACAGTACCCCGCCGCCCTATGAGCGTACCCGCCTCTCCCCACCCCGAGCCAGCTACGACGATCCCTACAAAAAGGCTGTCGCCATGTCGAAAAGGTACTGTATGCCCCCCCCGCCTCTGCCCCCAGCTGGGGCTTAGGGCAAGGGGCTGTGGTTGGCATGGGAGGGAAACTGGAGCCATTGGCCCCTCCCTTGGTCTTCTTTACTCCTGTGGGATGTAAAGAGGCTGAGAGGGTTGGTATTTGTGTACTTTGCTGATCACCAGGGTTCAGGTGGAGCACCATGCTCAGTGTGGGGTGGTACCAGTTAGGCTGGGATAAGTGTCACCAGTCTAGGCTGCCCCAAGTGCCATTAGAGACACTGCCTGTAGGATTGTGCCCCGTAGCGTTTCCCACTGTCTGAAGGATTCTTAAGCCTCTTACCTGGTTGTCCTGGCTTTGGGGGTGGGTGTGAAAGAGTAGTCCCTTCGGCACTCACTGGCTGAAGGCAAGTTTATGGAGTGCGTCCACTCTGGGAAGTTGGGGACCTTGCTTTCATCCGCCGTTCTGTTGGTAAACAACCAAATCTTTCTGTACAGGGCCCAGGGATGGGGATAGTTTGTTTGTGGTTTGGGAATATAGACCAAAATTCACCTTGCCAGATCAGAAAGGAAGGCTTCAGTGGAGGGGCTTGGTTTCCTACTGAGTTGAACCCAGGCTTGATTTCTTGGCCTGGATAGAGTGATGAGCCTTCTGACAAAAGGAAACCAAACTGTTGGAGACCAATGTGATCACACCCTCCCTATCCCCATTGGCATCTCCCCCATGCCCACCTGGAGCCCTCCCCTCAATTGTCTCATTCACCAACTGTCTTCTTCTCTTGACTAGGTATGGTTCCGACCGGCGTTTAGCCGAGCTCTCTGATTACCGCCGTTTATCAGAGTCGCAGCTTTCGTTCCGCCGCTCGCCGACAAAGTCCTCGCTGGATTACCGTCGCCTGCCCGATGCCCATTCCGATTACGCACGCTATTCGGGCTCCTATAATGATTACCTGCGGGCAGCTCAGATGCACTCTGGCTACCAGCGCCGCATGTAGGGCCATCCTGGGGGTGGGGGACCACAGGGAGGGAGGGAGAGGAGAGGTAGTTAGGGTGCAGACCTGGGTTATAACCACTCTGGCCCATACCTCTCCTGGTTGCGGTTTTTCATCCCCTCCCTCTACCACGTGGGCCTTCCCCAGGAGATGATCCTTTTGAGTGTTTGGCAGTAACCTACTTTGTTCCTTCGCCTCAGCAGTACATCTTGCTACTGGCTTTAGATCTGCGGTTTCTCCTGTGCCCTGCCTCCCATCTCTTCAGAATGGGAATTTGTTTTTTTGTTGTTTTTTTTTTTTCCTGGCTCCCTTTTATTTTTGTGCGCGATACTTAAGGTCATCTGGATGGGGAAACAACCTGCAACTGAAGTCGGCGGCACCTTTTTCTTTTTAGATGTGAGGGAGGCCAGGAAAGGGTTAGCTTAACCGTTTCCTATGCGCCAAGCTATGCGGGCCCCTGGCTGTCCCTCTGTTAGACTGTTGAGACTGAGATCCTGTTGGGACAGTCAGTTTGTATGTGTCCAAATCCCTGCTCACCACTGATGTTTTAGCTGATGGTGAGTGGCACAGTCCCAATCCCCCATCTCCCTAAGTAGGTGGTGTTAGAAAACCTTAATTTTTTTTCCCTTTTGTATGGACTACAAATAAAACTTGGGGCAATTTGCAGTTTGGAAACCTGGTTGTCATTGTCTTGATTGCACTCAGTGTCAGAGAAGCCAGTTTGACATCCAGGAAGATGTGACAGCTAAAGGGAAGACAGCCTTGAGAACTTAGGGTGGGTGTGGAAAAGGGTTTGAAGCTGGGGATTAGAATTGATTTCTCTGGTGCTTAATGGGGTTTAGCTCATCCGCATCCCACTAGTATGCCATCTTCAGGACTGAAGAGTCCAGACCAGGTGATTGGATCACACCATAATACAGTAAATAAGGCCCATTTTCCTCTGCTTATGTTAGACCATTTTCCCTGACTTTTCTCCAGTTCAGAAATAACCTGAGCTCCAGCAGGGTGGCTCTGAGGTGTGGCTTTTCACAAGAAGTGGGAAATGGGCTGCTTTGGTATTTACAAGGCTAGTGGATCCTTCAGGCAGTGGGCTCAAGTGAATTCTGGGGCTGGGACCTGGAAAGGAGCCATTGTGGGTGGGCGTGATGTCACTGTCTGGTACTGCCCTGTGGTTGCAAGAGGGGGCAGGGAAAATTTGGAGCAGTTCTGGGTCATTCTGGGTAGTGTCCTGGTACCTTGCCTGTTGAACGTCACCATGGAGCGTCCTTCCTGCGTCCTGCCATCACAGCACCTGAGACTCCTTTCTTTTGTCCCCATCTGTTAACAGTTTTCAGATTGTTTTTGCTGGGTTTATATTTGAAGGTGTGATGACAGACTATGGGAAGGGGTGGGATGCAAGCATAACCAAGTGGGGATGCTGGAACGAGAATTGAGGATTCTTTTTACACTTTTGTTCTAGAGCTGGGGGTTGAGGACCTGGGCAAAAAATATGGCAGTTCCAACAAAGGACAAGATGGAGGCTTGGACTTAATGATGGGTGAATGAAAGAAGATTGGTTGATTAGAGTGATAACAGGAAAACCTGATGTTCCTTTGGGAAAGGATACTTTAGAGATGATTTGGGAGCCTGACAGGGCAAGGTGACTTTGGGGAGATGTATATATATCAGTCAAATACAGCCGAGGTGGGTTGTCTCCTTCCATTGGCTTCAAGGGAACTTGCTGGCAGACAGAGTAGTTTGCCCTGAAGTCCTCTTCCTCTGACCAGTGTGAAAAAAAATTATGGTGTTAAACAATGATTTCTTATTTGTGGATGCTAATTGGGGTAATCTCAGGGAGGATTGAGGCCATAGCTCTTTTCTTTGTTTCCTTTTCTGCTCATTGCTTTGCTTTCAAAGGTGCTTTGCTACTCTGCTTCATTTCTTTGCGGGACTGGGGAAGATTGGGAAGAGGAGTTTAATAGATTTCCTGTTACTTTTCTATGTGATGGTGGAATGATCTGAAGGCCAAGTTAACAAGCCAAGCTTTGATTATTACCCTGGAAAATTAAGGGTTGATTGTAAAGCCATGATTGGCCTGTGTATTGTGCAATATTTCTTTCTTTGTGTGGCTTTCTGTATTTTTCTTTCTGTCCAGTGAGGGTTCTGCCACTGCCCCAATCTTAAGGTTCATTAAAAAAAAAAACAACTTAATGTGCCCTTGGGCCAGTGTTGATGTTCTTTATAGCAGTCCCAACTCTTGAGAGTAACCTGGCCTATTTGATCAATCTGCCTGCCTGTCTGTCGTCTTTAGGTTCTGATGTTCTTGCTGCCTCAGTCCTCAGGTTTCTCATTCAAGCCAGGAGTTACAAAGCTAAATTATTTTCATTTTCCTTTTTCTTGCAGATTGTTTTAAAGTCTCTCCTTTTTAAATTTAAATCATACCATCTGTGTTGATTCTGTAACCCACTCATACTTTGCTTTTTGTCAATTTCTGATTTCCAAGGTCCTGTATCTTGGGGAAAGTTGAGTTTAGTGCATGGGAAGACACATATGTAGTATGTGTTTTGGGGAGATGGGCTGTCAGCCTATCTTTGGGTCATTCAACTTTACATCTCTCACCTCTACAACCTGGTTGTCATTGGAGGAGTTTTAGTTGGTTTATTCCTCGAACAAAACCACATAAAGGCTTCCACCCTGGTCAGCCTGCTGTCTTCTGAGGCTTGGACCTTGTTTTAAATTCTGTCTCAGGTGAACCTGGGACCCTGTCTCTTGTACTGGAGGTAATGGGACTGTCATTCTCCATGTAGGCAACCTTCCCAGTCCAACCCTCCAGTTAAGCTCTCCCAAAGTCCTTGCACAATCTGTTGGTTCTCCAGGTGGTCTGTCCTGTCAGACCAAGTCAGTGGACTGTAACATGAATATTGGAGAAATAATACTATGGCCGGGCATGGTGGCGCACGCCTGTAATCCCAGCACTTGAGAGGCTGAAGAAGGGTAATTGCCAAGAGTTCAAGGCCAGCCTGGGGAACATAGTTCAAGGCCAGTCTAGACTACATAACAAGACCCTGTCTCAAAACAAAAACAAACTTACTAGATTTATGGACTAGTGTGCCAGGTAACAGAGAAAATAAGATGGATAGTATATGCAAAATTCACACTTAAGTTCTATAGCTGCCGTTGAAAAAGTCATAAAGGGTTAGAATCTAGAGTTTTCCAGAAAAAGAAATTTCCTACAGGTGGGTTTCAGTCTACCTCTAAATCATTTATGTGTTCATAGTGCTTGAAATGCAGTGCTCAGGAAGCTAACCCCTTTGACTGACCCAGAGAAATTGCTAGTCTGGAAGTCAGAACTCAGTGAAATAGATAACAGTTACAAATATTGGTAGACCTAAGTGGTAGGTTAGGAAGGAAAGGATGTGTAGCAGTCCCAGTAGAGGATACTTTCTGGAGATGGGATTTGATTTAAAAACTGCCTTGAACTCTGCTCCCACTTTGTCATCCAGTATTTATTGCAGTGATGCACGTCTGTAAACCTGTAATCCCAGCAGTAGGAAGGCTGAGGCAGGATTGCCTCAAGTTCAAGGCTAGACTGGACTACACAGCGAGACCTTGTCTCAAAAACAATAAAGTATGTTTTTCATATATTTTCATAGCATCCAAAGTGCATTAGATACTTCAAAACCTGATTTATAAGTGAGAAGATTGGAGCTGTAGGTACAGTAACTTTTCTTAGGATCACATGTGGGTTCAGTCTTCAGCTTGCCCACTTCCTTGAAAAAAATCACAAAATTAACAAAATGGTAGATCAAGGAATTTTAATCACCAGTCATATGAATCACCCAGGGGTTTGCTTGTAATTATTCTTTTTTAGTGTTGACAAGGTTAAATGAGAACTTCTGATTAAATGCTAGCCATCTTGTACAAATGAGTTACAGCATTCTGAGAAGATTGGGATGACCTAGGGGAACACACACCTGAGCAAAAGACTTTGGATGTAGATGTGGTGCTACACCTAAGACTTACTGTGAAGGCAGTGAATTTTTGCAGTGAATGGTGGTGCATAAAAGTGACTTGCAAGCCGTTTTGGCCACCACCAGTCTCTGGCAGCACTATTGTGTGTTCTGGGATCCTATTCTTTTGGTATGGAGAAGAAAGGTTACTTACTGTACAAGGGTAGGGATGTTATGGAAGGCTAATTAACGTCAGAGGTGTAGCTGGCAGTAAGATGGGAAGGAAGCCTTCTTAGTTGGTCTACTGGCTCTCTCTGAGCAACTGTGGAGAACACTGACTTTAGACCTTATCATGCATGTAATTCAGTTCTGAACTAGGAGCCAGAGTTATTAGAAGTAGAAGCTCTAAATATTCACCCCTGCGGGTTTGAAACTAATGCAGATTATTGATGTCGTAAGTAGATTTAATAGACACTCTTGTGTTTACTCCTAAATGTAGATTTGTCCTGTATTTCCTTTCAAGAGTCTAAGCTATCTCTTTTTTTTTTTTTTGAGGCAGGGTTTCACTATGTATGTAGTTCAGGTTGGTCTTGAACTCACTATAACTCAGGCTGGCCTTGGACTCAGTGATCCTCCTGCCTCAGCCTCCCAAGTGCACCACCATGCCCGGCCTTCATTTCTTAATTACATGCATGTAATATCTTCCCTTTTGCTGAAGATTTATACCTTGGCTGCAACAAAATGTCAGCTCTCTGGATGACTTTGGACTTTACCTCTTAGGAACTTAGTAGACTGGTGAGCAAATTAAAAATCACCAGAATGGCCAGGTGTGGTGGCTTGCACCTGTGATCCCAGTGCTCAGAAGACATGTGGGAGGATCACTTGAACTTAGGAGTTTGAGGCCTTGTGGGGCAACGTAGTGAGACCTTGTCTAAAAAAGAAAAAAAACAAGCCAGGTTTGGTGGTGCACACCCAGAATCCCCGTAGTCTGGGAAGCTGAGGCAAGAAGATATAAAGTTTGAGGCCATCCTGATGGCCAATTTAGTGATTAGCAAAGCCCTGTCTCCAAAAGTACAAAAGGTCTGGGGCTGTAGCTCAGTACAAAGGCCCTGGGTTCAGTTCCCAGGACTACTAAATCATCAAGTCACCAAAATGGCATCTACAATGTTCAGACAAGGTGTATTTTTCTAGTGTCATTTCACTGAGGTAGTTCTTTATTTTATTTTATTTTTTGGGGGGGACGGGGGATTGAACTCGGGACCTTGCACTTTCAAGGCAGGCGGCAGGACCACTGAGCTAAATCACCGGCCCCTTAGTTTCAGATTAGCAATTTCTCTAGTGTCATTCTCCATAGTCAGGGCAATGAGTAAGGTAGAGGACTGGATCAGATGTCTTTTTAAAAAAAAAAAAATTAATTAATTAATTAATTTTTGTGGTACTGGGGATCGAACCCGGGTCCTTGCACTTGCAGGGCAGGCAGTGGACCACTGAGCTAAATCCCCAGCCCCTTTTTTTTTTTTTTTTTAACATTAAGCTTCTTTATTCCCAGTAAAATATATTTGGGTAAATATATATCAGTATGAAGCTATTCAAACTACAAACTTCTCTGCCTAAAGGTTCATTTTGCTGCATTTGTCAAAGTAGTGATCAAAAGCTGTGGTGTAGATTGGCTTTGGCTCTGGGCACCTGCTTTTCATTTGAAAGAGACTGGAAAGTGATATGAATAAAGATGCATGTTTTCATTACTAAGTGTCCAGTCCACTCCCAACACCCATGGCTTTGTACTTGCTAGCCAAGTGCTCTGCTTCTGAGTTACATCCCCCAAGCTCTGTGTCCAGGTTCTTAACCTGATACTCAGAAAATTGAAAGTCAGTTCTCTCCTTTTGGTTATGAAGAAATTAACTCATGTATTCCTTTGTTAACTTAGTTAACAAATATTTGGGTACCTTCCATATGCCAGCTACAATTCTAATTCTGGTTATATAGCATGGAATAAGAACAAGTATCTGTTAGGGCAGGAAAAGGGCAGAAAATGAACAAATAGAATTTCAAATGATAGTAAGTATTCTGAAAAATAGCATGGATTCATGGGATAGAGTTCCAAGGCAGTGTTGGAGTAGAGGATACCTTCAGGCCAATGAAGGGCCCGAAGAAAGACTATACCACTTTGAATCACCTTGGAATAATAAGACCAGTGTATCTGGAGGGGTAGTAGTGATTAAACAGATTGGGAGGTTCTAGCAAGAACCAGATTGGGTAGAGTATTATAGTTGAGGGAGAGAAGCTTGAAATCCCTCAAATTGTAATATGTTTTAAAAATAAAGGGATGATTTAATGTGGCTCATTCACTTTGATGACTTGCAAACAGATATAACTAGATCTGCTGGGCTTTCAGAAGGGAAATCAAATAATTAGGTTGGGAGGGCACCAAAAGAGGTCAGTAGTCTTAATGTTTATACACTGGCATGAATTGTGATCCTCATAACATAACATTTGTATTTCTAGTGCCCCGTGTAGATCTGTAGAGATTCTAGTTTCACAGAATAAGTTGATACATATTTTGGGAGAAAGTTGTCCTAGGCTATTGGGACACAAAATATTTGGAAGATCAAACAGAGGATTTCTGGTGGAGGTTGGATTATGATCACTTCCTAAAGCCGAGCCCCTTAGGGCATGTGCAGCAGACTAACAAAATTAGTTTTCTTCTTTACTCACTGTGCCCTTTACTTATCAATCTTAGAGCAGAATCAGGATCCACATTGAAGTGGGCCACATCTGTAAATGTATTGTACTTTGACTTTTTAGTGATCTTTTTTCACCCAAAAGTTCTTGACCAACTTTCTACTGTTGGATTCCTGAATCATGTGAGTTTTGAAATGCTAGTGCTTACTTTACCTTTCTCTTTCCAAAACTCCTCTCTCCTTTTCTTCCTTTTATTCTTTTATGGCTGCTTTGGGTGATAGTATGTTCTATTTGTGTCATCTACATTCCTGATGATCCCTGTCCTCATCAACAGTTCACTGCTTTTAGCCTGTTTGCTCCTGTTTTAAGTTCTTCCATCCAGCACTTGCACCCCGCCATTGCCTTTTCACTCTTAAAAAGCTGCTTTGCAGAAGGTCTTGAGGATGAAGTCATTTACTAAGTGAATATGAGATTAATGAAGCAGCCAAAGGGTGAAAACGAGAATGTAAGGGAGCTGGACCCTGTGAAGAATGTTCTGTGTATTTGTTTAAAGCTGATTGTGACAATGCTTTCCCTCTAAGGTCGGTTTTAGAGGGTTTAAACCTACAGCTCTGGTTGATGGCGCCCAATAAAATAAAATAAAACAAAAACCTTTGCTGCTCCCGTTTTTTCTAAGGGCAGGGTGGTGGTGGTGGTGGTGGTGAGGGTCTGTCTTCAGTCTCCACGGTTACACAGAAGTTAGTTCACGTTGGATCCTGAAGGAAAGGATCCTGTTCCTGGAGGAAGGGAGGCTGGTTCCAGGAGGGAACTACCTCATTGCCTCCTAGATAATGCCGCCTCCCGTCCAACCTCCTGAGCCGGTACACCTTTCAAGGTGGGGGCCACTTAGTTTCAGAGGTAGCCTTTTTTTGTTTTGTTTTTCAGCGCGCGCGTTGCGGGTGGGGGGGCTTCGAGGCTTTCAGGGCTACAGTACGAATTACTGGCCGGAGAAAGTTGGTGTTTTCCAGTTGGGGGCCTCGATGTTTTTCTTACATAGCATCAGTTTCTATGTAAGTTATGGTCCACAGCATCCAGTTTGCGAGGATGTGGCGTTTGAGAATTTAGAAGGAAAAATTTGGAATAGATGGTAAAATGGATCTCGGAGTACTGTCAAGGCGAGCACGCGGAAGTGGCGAAATGTGGAAGGTTACCAAAGTTGGCGCCATGAAGCTAAACACTGCTACATCAGGGCCCTCACTCATTCCGCCTCATGGCGGTCCGCACCTCGCCTTGAAGCCCACGTTTGTGGCTCCTCCCTCACGCGGACCTTTTACCCAATCAATGTGTCCGACTTCTCTAGGTTGGTACTTATTGGCTTCCGTATAAAAGCTCCGGGGTTACTGACGTTTCCACCTCTTCCAGGCCTCTCAGGTAATTGGCGTTCACGGTCGCCAATCAGGAAGAGGATCTTCGGGAACGCCTGCCTTTGACTTTATTGAACGGCCAATCCTGTGGTAGGCTCACCTCCCCCTCTCTACCCAGAGTCACTGCTGCGGTCGCCGCCATTTTAGCGTTTTGTCAGAAGCGTCCGCGCCGCGAGGAAGAGGCCCTGCTGATTTCTGTGCGGTGAGAGACTCCGAGCCTTTCCACTATCTTCTTTTGCTTTGTTAAACCTTATTTCACTCCTTTGGGCGTCGGGGGTGTCTTAGTGGGGTCGCGGCCTGCGCATCCTCCCTGAGAGCCCACCTCAGGTCCTCGACGTTGCGCGGTAAGCCTGAAGCAGCCCTTCCCCCATCTCCTCGAGAATGTCTTGCTTTCTTGCTCTCTGCCCTACTTGACTCGGCTTTCCGCCGAGCTAACTCCTACGTATTTTGAGCTTAGCATTTACAAGTTGTTTTAATTTCGCAGGCCCTAGAATATTGTTGGTAAATTAATCTGAAATCTCCGGTTATGCATTTCTCCATTCTGCTGAAGCTTGTGAAGATATCTCTAGGGAGGCGTTCCCCACACCCAGCATTTTCAGTAGCCTCAACGCTTCACAGTCTGGGGCGAGTCTCGCGGCCGCAGCTTCCAAAGGAAACCCCTAAACATAGCTATTACAAGGCCCACTTCTCCGGAAACGGTGGCTTCTAAGATTATTACTAGAGGAAGAGTCAGTTCGTAGACAGTAGTTTTTGGCAGCCAGCAAGCCCAGTATAATTAAACTTTGAAATTTTGATTATTCTTATAGTGGACAGAAAAGTTCAGTCTTCCTCAGCTATTCAGTTCTACTTTTTATATTTATTCATGTTCCTTTTTGGAAGTATCCAACTCCAAACCTTTGTCTACTGACGACCTCCCAGTTTAGTCTCCTTTAGAGGTTCTATGGTAGGTATTACTGCAGGTTTCACCCTTTTTCCTTTGTTTATGGTGTCGAGGTATGAGTGTGAACAAGATAAAATTGGAAATATGTGCTAGAATGAAAGGAGGTGCTATTAGTGATTTTTTAAAAAAGTGGTATGAGACCAAGGTCTTTTGTTAGAAATCTTGTTCCTTTTCTCTCAGGCTGGGTCGAGATGGTGAAGCTGTTCATTGGAAACCTGCCCCGGGAGGCCACAGAGCAAGAGATCCGCTCACTCTTTGAGCAGTATGGGAAGGTGCTGGAATGTGATATCATTAAGAACTATGGCTTTGTGCACATAGAAGACAAAACTGCAGCTGAAGATGCCATCCGTAATCTACATCACTATAAGCTTCATGGAGTAAACATCAATGTGGAAGCGAGCAAGAATAAGAGCAAAGCTTCAACAAAGTTACATGTGGGTAATATCAGCCCCACGTGTACCAACAAAGAGCTTCGGGCCAAGTTTGAAGAGTATGGTCCAGTCATCGAATGTGACATCGTGAAAGATTATGCCTTTGTACACATGGAGCGGGCAGAAGATGCAGTGGAGGCCATCAGGGGCCTTGATAACACTGAGTTTCAAGGTGAACCACTGTCTTTGGGTAGAGAGCTGAATACAATGTTATATACAGGAAAAAGTTGGTTAAGTAAAGGAGTGTGAGGTAGAGATACAAATGTTGACTCCCTAGTGGTGAAAGGTTAAGTGTGGGTGAGGGACTTATTGAAATGGAGCATGCATGGGTTTAGAGGCTTTACTTAAGTCAGTTTAACCCTCCTGGAAAAAAAAAGAACTACTTGGTTTTCATTTGAAGCCCCTAAGGCTTTTATACCTCTCAGTTTAATCCTTTGGTTTTAGGCTTGGCATGGTTGTGCACACATGTAATCCCAGCACTTGGGAGGCTGAGGCAGGAGAATTACTGTGAGTTCCAGGCCAGCCTGAACTACACAGCCAGACCCTGTCTCAGAGAACCAAGAAGGAAAAAAAAAAAATCCTTTGCTCTTGAAGACTTTGAATTATTGTGTCTCTTTCTCTTCTTTGGTAGTAGGGTACATTGTATTTCACTGAATTTAATGCTTCACAGTATTTGATATGCAAGGAACCAATTAAAAACATGTTAATGGAATTCCTGTGAAGCTCCCCCACTTTACCTCAGCCAGCTCTTAGCTTTTCAGCAAAGATAACTGATTTTTAAAAGGATACAGCTCTAGTTGATTTTGCATTATAGCTGTACCAAAGGTTGTTTTGAAAGCCAGTCTAGAATTAAAAAGGCTGATTTCAGGAGTTTGGGAGGAGGCATTGGAATTTTGGTCAGTAATGGCATTTCTTAAAAAATTGGTTTTTGCCGGGTGTGGTGGCGCTCGCCTGTAATCCCAGCACTTGGGAGGCTGAGGCAGGAGGATCGCCACAAGTTTAAGGCCAGCCTGAACGGCATAATGAGACCCTGCCTCAAACAACAAAAAAAATGGTATTGGGGGTGAACTGACTTTAATATCTTTGAATATTTCCATAGACCCTTGATTAGATTGTTTTTATGCCTGGAGGATAGCATGGGTGGTATGGATTGTCACTTTATTTGAAAAGTATTAACATCTTAGTTTAAGATTTAAACTTCCTTGTTAGGAGATAGTAACTGGTAGTGAATTACCATCTGAACTCTTAATTCTGTTTCCATCTCCTTTTGGACTCTTGAGTCCAAATAACTCTTCCCTTTGGTTGTGATTAACTTCTAAATTACAGTGTATCCCCGTACTCATGAGTATATTTCAAACCTGTGTTCTGACCATGTTAACATGAACAACAGTGCCCCCCCCCTTACTGCCCTTGTGTTTTAGGGTTATCTTTGTTGTTCATTTCTCCTAAATTGAGCCTTTCTTAAGATCTGGAGGTCTGATTATCATATTTCTCCGTGTAATGGGTGTTCTGTGTCAAGGGCATTGCTGTGTATTATTTTCTTTGAAAGAGTTTCACAGGTCTCTCAGGTCTAGTTGCTTTCCTTCTTTAATTGGCAAGTTGAGAATTATTTTGTGTACAACTTAACTGGAAGCAAAGGTTGTTCTTGTGGAGGGTTATAGATACTATAGTATCTAGTTTTTGGACACTTCTACACTTTAACCTAGTCATGGAAGTAATATCTGTGAGGATACATGAGGATGAGGAAAACAGTGTGTGGTCTTATTCAAAACAAATTACCCATACAACCGGTAATCTGAACTGTAGGTTAGCTCTGATGCTAATTTATGCTTATTTTTACATAATTTTTCATAGTATTACTCTTGTGGGGTTTTTTTTTTTCTGTTGTGTGTAGGTGTGTGTGCACGCACGCGCCTGGAAGTAAACCCAGGACCTCAACACATGCTAGGCAAATAATGATCTTCCAGTGATCTACATCTGCAGCTCCTCTATATTTTTGGAGGGGCATGCTACTAGGGCTTAGATCCAGTGCCGTAGCATTAAGCTGTGTCCGTTTTTAAGCCTTTTTTATTTTGAGACAAGATCTCACTAGTTCAGACTGTCTTTGAATTCACTATGTAGCCCAGGCAGGCCTTGAATTTGTGGCAATCCTCCTGCCTGCCTCAGCCTCCCAAGTGCTGGGATTATAGGCATATACCACCACACCAAATTTACTTTCTTTATTTTTAGCAGTACTGGTAATTGAATTCAGGACTTACATCTCCAACCTCTTTTTAAATTTTGAGATGGGTTTTGCTAAGTTGTCCAGGCAGGATTTAAATTTATTTATTTATTTTTTGTTTTTGTTTTTGGTACTGGGAATCGAACTTGGGTCCTTGCGCTTTCGAGGCAGGTGGCAGAACCACTGAGCTAAATCCCCAGCCCAGGATTTAAATTTATGATCCACATGTGCCACCATGCCCTACAAGGTGTCATCTCTTAATACTGTTCTAGTAATACTGTAT